GCTGGCTCACCCTGATCTGCTCCCGGCTATGAAGTCCCCCACTGGGACGCATCGAGGTGGGCCTCCAGGCTGTCGAGCGGCGTCCTCAACGGTACAGCCTCCCCCTCCTCTGGCAGTGTCGGCGACGGGCCCATAAGCCACTGCCCGTGATCCGGCGAAACTCCACCTGCTCAAGTCCATGCGTAGGGGGTAGCTCCACTACCTGAGCCGGCCCCACAGCCTGAACTGGCCCCACTGCCTGGGCGGGTTCCGTCGGCCCCTCTCGCTGTGCCAAGGCCTTTCGGCCTCCCCTAGTCGTAGTAGCCCCTCTCGCCTCTGGATCCCGTGGCCTCTTGCTCCTTCGCCTTCTTTCCACCCTAGGCTCTGGTCTCTCCGGCTCTGGTCGTCGAAACACCTGTTTCAGCTGAGCCTGGCAGGCCATCAAGGAGAGAATCCACGCCTGTCTTTGACGATGATAACGTAGAGCTCTTTCTGGACGCCTACCAGGCCCATGCGACACGGGAGAAGTGGTCTACCTTGGAGCGGATATGGCACCTGAGGGGAGTTGGGCGTTTTGAGGAGCCTATCGCGCATATCCGGGAGGAGGCTTTGACCTGGCAGGATGTGCAGGTGAGGATGCAGAGGCTGAGGGTTTTGCCGCTGGGGCCGGATGGACTGCCTATTCAATTGGAGGAAGGCAATGCGGAGGAGTTCATTCCGGCCTATGAGCAGTACATGCGCGACCAGGCACGCGCCCTGTCTCGGATCTGCCTCGCCAATGGTCCTCCGCCCTCCGCGTCAAGAGAGGCAACGTTTGCATCCACTCCTCCTGCCCAGTCCCCTGGTCGCGCATGTACTGCTCATAGGCCGGAATGAACTCCTCCGCATTGCCTTCCTCCAATTGAATAGGCAGTCCATCCGGCCCCAGCGGCGAAGCCCTCAGCCTCTGCATCCTCACCTCCACATCCTGCCAGGTCAAAGCCTCCTCCCGGATATGCGCGATAAACTCCTCAAAACGCCCAACTCCCCTCAGGTGCCGTATCCGCTCCAAGGTAGACCACTTCTCCCCTGCCGCATGGGCCTGGTAGGCGTCCAGAAAGAGCTCTACGTTATCATCGTCAAAGACAGGCGTGGATTCTCTCCCATCCCCTCCTGATGCTCCCAGAGACCTCTGTCGTGGCCGTGCGCCCCTCCCTCCCCTATGCATGGTTGTCTTCGAAAAGTCAGACCTGCACATCAGGCGAGAGAAGAAAGCAGGCACACAACAAGGTTGGCCATCAGCCCATCAAGCTTTATGATAACACACATGCCCTTTCTTACTCCCCCACCTGACCTGACCATAGCATGCAACGCCTTCAAGGACTAGTTCATTCAGAAGAATGTAAAGCTCTTTACCTATTCCCTGACCACAAACTTCTTCAACCTGGTCCCTGACACCCAATCCTGCCATCCTGTCCCATCCAACTCCTCAATCTGATAGGCTCCAAACTCGCCACACCTCAAGATTTTATAGGGCCCCATCCATATCGTGTCGAGCTTTCTCGACCATTGCTTCTCCAGGGAGGAGTCGTACAGCAATACGACATCCCCTACTGCCAACGGCTCCTTTCTTACTCGTGCCATCTGGTCCCATCTCATCTTGTCCCCCATGCGGCTCCTCTCTACCTGACCAGCGGCCTCTCACAACCTTTCCTCGGCAGCCCCAACTTGCCGCGCCCGGATATCGAGCAGTTCTTTGAAGGATAGGTTTACTTCCAAGTCCTGACGCCTCCAAGTCTTCATGAAGCCTTCTATGGGAAAGGTGGCATGCCTCTCATACCATAGCGTGGCTGGCGCGTACTTGGTAGTCCTTTTTACTATAACATTTTCTACGAAGAAAGCCGCTCGCAGGAACTTCGGCCACTAACTAGGCTTGCCCTCTGTCCATTTAGCCAAGAGGTTCGTGATGGTACTGTGCCCCCTCTCCACCGGAGCGTTCGCTTGAGGATGAGCGGCCGTAGTATAGTTAGCCACTACGCCATACCCTGCAAGCAAGGTTCGCACCTCATTGCAAGTGAACTCTGACCCTCGGTCCATCACGAACTCCTTGGCAAAGGGACAACGCAAGTAATACTCCTCGATGCAATTTGTCAAAACCGGGTCAGTCTTTGTCTGAATAGCCCGACCGTTCACAAATCCAGTAAGGTTATCCCGTGCATCGAAGATGTAATTACATTCATTCTCCCCAGCTGGCATGAACAGCAGGTCCAGGCGTATGACCGCACCTACTTCCTTCTCCAACCTTGGGTGCAGGGGCTCCCCTGGCCTTTGCGCTGACCTCTCCTGGCAAGGTACACAAGACTGGCAATACTTGATAACCATAGTCAGCATCCCATCCCAATGGTACAGCTCGCTTATCTTGGCGCACGTGGCACCTATCCCTCTGAGCCTCCCTACTATACCATCGTGTAGGGCTGCTATGATATCAATCTGCCGGTTCCTCCCACATACAATCCTCTTAGGATTCCCGACCTGCCGCTTTATAAACAGGTGGCCGTCCCTCACCACATAGAGGTGCCTCATCTTTTGCGCTTTGGTACTTGCGTCTCTATCCCTCATCTCCCAGGATAGGAGTAGCCCCAACTCCAGATAGATTTCATCGTACTCTTCTGCATGAAAGGCTTCTCTGATCTCCCCTTCCTCGAAATCATCATCCTGACTTTCAGGAACAAAATCCTCACTCTCCATAGGACTGAAAGAGCTCCTCCAATCAAAGTATCCCTGCAGAAGTGCATTCGTGAGCAAATACATTCCTCCCATTAGTTGCTCATGCTCCTCCACCTGAGTTGGGCCCTCCTCTATTGTCCTTACTTCCTCCGCCAGACTGTGCATACCTGCCAATGCCAACTTCATTATCCAACCAACATCCTTGCTCCCCCACGGATCCTCCTCTTGAAAGGGCTTGAGGACCAATTCCTCCCTTCGTTCGTACCCCTTAGGCGCTAGCCATATAGGGTGACTAACACAACTGGGCACCCGCAAGGACCTTTCATTTATATGAAGGCAGACGTCCTCCTCTTGGTCCAAGAACCCATCAACTGGTGGGGTATCCTCTATTGACTCCTGATCCGCCCCATCCCAGTTGATGCGGCTCAACCCATCCGCCCTGTTTTTGTCCCCTGGAATCCTTTCCAGCTCGAAGGTGAACATCCAAATGTACGTCAACCACCTTGCGATGGTTGGGTCAGATGGGGTATAGTTCTTTAGGGAACTGGCAAGCGCAGTAGGATCCACCCTTAGTATGAACCTCCTGCCAAAGACGTAGTTCCGAAAGATCCTCAGGCAGTGGAGCACCGCCAACGTCTCCTTCTTAAACTGAGAGTAGTTCCTCTCAGTCGTATTAAGAGTTCGACTCTCGAACCTTAGCGGTCTCTCCTTTCCCTCGGCATCTACCTGAACCAAGACTCCTCCCAGGGCAGTAGGTCCAGCGTCTGTTTCAATGATGAACGGCTTCTTCTCAGTCATCTTCGGCGCCCCCAACACCAGACCTTCCTCTTTAAACTCGGCCTTCATCTTCTCCACAGTCTCTTCCTGATCTGCACCCCAGACCCATTCCTGATCCTGATGTACCAACTTCCTTAGGTGCTCAGTCTTGGTGGCAAAGTTCTTCACGAAACTCCTCCAGAATCCGCACGTGCCGAGGAAGCTCCTTACGTGCGTTATCGAACGAAAGGGCACTGACCACTCCACGATTTTGTCCGTCTTCTTTACATCAGGCCTTCAGCCGTTCTCATTGGAGACAAAACCCAGGATTGTCGCCTCCCTCATGCAGTGCTTAGACTTCGGGCCGCTTGCCGTGAGGTTGTATTTTTCCAACAAGCTCAGAACTTGTTCGAAGTCCTAGATATGTCTCCAAACAAACCGCCTTACCCCGGGCAGTACCTCATCTTCTTCCCTCTCTTTCGGGCCCTTGACCGCCAAGTCGTCAATATAGGGTTGGGTGATGTGTGGACTAACCGTCTGCATGGCCCTAATCATATGCCTCTGCACCATTGCCACTGCATTCGTCCAGCCTTGAGGGGCTACGTTCATATAAATTAGCCCTCTGGGCGTATGCATCGCCGTTACAGGCCTGTCTGGCGGGTACACAGGGAACTGGTCATACCCAGAGTAGAGGTCTATAAGCGAAATTATAGGCCTCCCTGCGCATGACTCTGACAGTGCGTCCGCGTTTGGTAACCCTCCTTCATCCCGCACGGCCACGACATTTAGCCGCTGTAAATCCTGCACCCACCGTAATGTTCCGTTCGCTTGATAAAGCAGAACCAGGGCGAGGCATACGGCCCGCTGGAGAAGTCGGCAACGTGCGTGCGCATCTTGCCGTCCAGGTAGTCCACCACCATCTTCTCTTCGTCCGGGTTGGGATACCGCGCGCCCCTTAGATTCCAAGGCCCGTGTGGGACCGTGTGGATCCGAATCATCGGAATCTTGTCCACATCCAGCCTCCCACGCTCGTCATCATTGAAAGCATATGCGTGCCTTTTCTTCATCAACCCCACCATCAGGGCTCTCTCTTGGGGCAAAAGCAAGTCGGGCTCCCCAATTATCAACTTCTCTTCATTCTCACCGTTGATACGGCACGGACCATTTGCTACTTGCTCCCGCATGCGCCGTATCAACCCCCGTTCCAACTCATAATAAACTTCCTCGTCCTCAGTAACGAGCACAGAAAACTGGGCGGCACTTCTTATCTACCGTCTTGTACCGTGTTTGGGAGCCCTGCTTAAGCCGTCCCCAAAAAAAAGTTGGCTTGTTGTTTGTGCTTGCGCCATCGCAGGGCCTCCCCTGCCGCCTGGAAGCCAATAGACCAACTTCACTTCTCCCACCTAAGGGTTCTCCAAAACCTGCTCCCTCAGCGCCTTAATGGCCTTAGGATCCACCATGTCATGTGCCGACACCATTTCCATGACCTTATTCACATCTGTGAGGCTCAGTGTCAGCACCTCGGCCCTATCTTCCTCCTCGGGCACTTCCCAAAGCCTCCTTCGCTCGTTCTCCGACTCCTCATGGGTGAACGAGCCGAGATTAGGCCTGTTTCTTCCGCTCCCCGGCCCCGTGTTCCGGCAAATGATAACCTCATAGTTTCCTCACGCCGGGTCACACAGGAGCAGGATCATTGTCCCGTCGTGCTTGTTGAAGATTAGCATCTCTGTCCGACACAAGAACGACCTTCCCAAAAGGATGGAATGATCGACATCGGGCATGACGAAGAAACATGTCCTAGCCCGCACCTTCCCAATTTCTATGATCACGTTGGACGCAGTGCCACAAAAGGCATCCTTGCGATTGGCGCCGTGCAACATGCCATGGTCCGAGCGGTCGATCTCCATCCCCAACATCACCGCTTCCTTCTCCCTGATGATGTTCATCTCCGCCCCCGTGTCCACCATCCCGGTGCACTTCTGGTTCTTTATCACCAAATCCACCTGCCCGCACGCTACACATTTTCAATTCATCCTTGTCCCTGGCTCAATCCACTCTACCTCCCTGGGCAGGATCGTACTCAGATGGACATTAGGCACCAACCTTCACGAGAGTCGCCCTTTCAGTTCACCACGGAGCCTTGGTGCCGATGCCAGGATGTCCTTCAAATTCATTAGGTCGTTGTGGCCCTCCAGGAGCCTGTCCACCATCTGCTCCACATCGAAGCCTTCCTCCATTCGGACCGCGTACTTCTTCCTCTTAGGTACGTTGTCAGGCAGGCTTGGTTCGGCCTCCTCCTGGGCTCCTCTCTTCCTGGCCCTTAAGTCAGCTCGCCAGTCCTCCTCTCGTGGAGCCTCTCATCCTCTTCGTCATCATCCTCTTCCTCTTCCTCCGGAACCTCCACCACCTCCTTCCTGCGCCCTGGCTCAGGCTCCTTTCGAGGGGGTGCCTGACTGGGCGCCTGGCTGGGCTCTTGGCTAGGTCCGGTCTTGTTTTGGCTCTGGGTCCGCGCCGCCTGCGGCACCCTTCCATGCGACGTTGGGGGCCTGTAGGTCATACCCAACCTGGGGCCCGTCCCTACGGTCGCAACTCTTGGGCAACCCTGTTGCCCTGATGAGGGTTCAGGTCCAGAGTCATAAAGGAAGACTTCAGGCAGGTTGGCCTCCCATTCTCGGGCTTCTTCACACAGGGTCTGCAGCTTCCACTGGTACCTCCCAATCTTTTCCAGCAGATCCTCGATCTTCTCCAGGATGACTATGGTCGTCTCTCTTTCACCTTCCCGTCCCTAGTCATCTGACTCGACGACTATCGGCTCCTCCCTTATAGTCCCTGCCCTTAGTCGCTGAGTAACCTCCTCGCTATCCCCCACAATCTCCTCGACTCTTATGACCGGATCTTCTCTCTTCTGCCACATCCTGAACATGGCCGGGGTCACTGGTGGCCCTGCCGTCGCTCGCCTGAGGGCCTCTTGCCTGATCCCTCCCGGGATCTTGGGGTCAATATGCTTCCCCCACTTATCGTATGTATTTCCATCCATACAAGAGGAGATTAACCCTGCCAGCTCATCATCCCGCCGTTGTTGGCAGAATCGTATGGTGTGTCCTACGGCGCCACAATGCCAACAGGTGGCGCTCCGCCAGTCAAAGCGGGGCCTCCCAAATCCTTGGCCCCCCTCCTGGCCACCTTGGCCACCTTGGTTCTGACCCCCCTGGCCATTCCAACCACCTCCGCGACCCCCACCATTTCTCCCTCGTCCCCGACTACCGCCTCCCTGACCCCCTTGGCCTCGGCCTCCATTGCCTCGCCCGCCTTGCCCCTGGTTTCCTCCGCCAGCCACACTAGCCTGCGAGGCCTGTTGGGAGGGCGGCGGTTGGGCCACAAACTGACCTTGGGTCGTAGGGTAGCTTGGGGGGACCATACTTGCCGACGGGCCCGAATAGGGGACCATCTGTCCCACGTGGGTCTGACTCCCTCCGCACGAGGTACGGTGGTTACAACTGGGCCAGGGCGCGAGCTGACAATGCGGCATCCAGTGCCCACTAGCTGGCGGCGGCGCCATACACGATGGCCTGGCTGGCGCTGGCGCCGGCGTGGTGGCATGTGGTGGCGCGGCAACTGCTTGCGGGGCTTGCCCCTTCACTGATCCTTGACCCCCCATTAGCAAATTACGCTGCTTCCTCTGGGTTTTGGTCAAGATCTGGGAGCCCGTTTCTTCTCCGCCGTAGTCCTCACGTCCTGCCTCCTCATCCACTGCCCCTGATGCCCGGCCCTGGGCCAAGGTTACCCCTTTCTTCTGCACTTTCACTTCATTATCATACCCCAACGCAGCCAGCACGTCCGTGACGATCCTTTTTACCCCTGGAGTTCCCGATGCGGTGGCGTCCCTTTCCTTTCTCTTGCGCCTCTGCAGCCGCATCTAGTGCTGCTCCACCTGATCCAAACTCCCTTCTTCCACTCCTTTGTCGATAGTTGCCCAGGTAAGTTTCTCACTTCCTCCTCCATGGCTCGTCAATTTTGCGGCCTCCGTGCCAGTAAGCAAACCCAAAAATATGGCACACTGCGTTTCTTCAGAGATCCCGTGCACCTTCCTCGCCTTCTTCTTGAACTCGTGCACGAATGCCCCGATCGTGGAGAAGTCGTCTTTGTGCATGGCCTCCAAGTCCGCCACGGTCAGCAAGCCATCCCCCAGCCTGTACTTTCTGAGCATCAAGTCCCTGAACCTTGCCTAGCTACCATTGGCGGCGTCCACGACCTTGCTCACCTCCCGATGGTGGCTATGAAGGACGTACTTTAGGATTCGCTGGAACTTGACCTCATCCGATAGCCCCACTAGTGCCTGCTCAGTCAGATCCAGCCAGTCGGATACCCGCTCCTCGTTGAAGTGGAAGGTATCAACCTTTGGAACATTGCTCGGCGCCCTCTCGCGCTTGTCCAAAGCCTCGATGAGGTCGTCGAGCGTCAGGGTCTTTCTTGGAACGGCGGCTCCGCCTCCTGATATCTTGGCTAGCTGTCTCTCACTCGACCTTCCTGTTAAGAAAAGAAGTGGAAAGCTTCATTCAGCAACCCAACCCAACGTACTTCCCTCGAACCTCCCACTCCCTTCCTACATCCCCTACATCTGACAGACCCTACCCCTGTTTCCCAAGCTTATTTTAATAGGGTTTACTCCTATCCTAAAACTTTCCATGCAATCCTTCCATCAGGCAATCACTCCAACCGTCAGCTAGACCCATTAGTGATCAGGCTTCTCAAACAACCACGCAATATACCATGCCACTCACTCGTCATCGACCTGATCATGCCTAATTCTCTCTCACTCTCAATCCCGGTTGCCGTTCCACCAGGGACAACGGTAGGCTTCCGTAATTCCCGGCAACGACGCCACCTGTCGAGCGCATCGATCCGACACTGCACGAGGCAGCGCGGGACCCTCCCGGCCGCGTCGCGTAGGAGTTGGTTTTAAATCCTTCGTCGCGAATATACATGGAGGTTCCGCAAGCCTCTCCGGCCGAGTGCGCCAGCCATACCTCTCGCGAGCCCCTACGACAGGATAGGGGCCTACGCGAGGACCATCTTACCTCCACCTTACGGGAGCTGTCACCTTCCTTCGGTGGGCGTATCCCCGCCGAGCTACCAGTCTACAATACGAAAGTTAATCAGTTGCAATCGTAGAGGTGAACCAGCCGAGGGCGTTTCTCGTTCGCTGTAGCATAGGGGGTACGCGCGGTAGTACGCCTATCGGACCCGCATGCGAACCGACATCTTGGGGGGCTGAAGTCCCAAGCGCGGCTCGACGTCGGTCGACTAGGACGCATTCCACACATCACACGCACACCACTTTACGAACACAAAAATAAAACCCACACACCCACACATACAACACGACACAACACAAACAACGCGACAACGCTCTTAGCCCCTCGGTAGCCAACCCATAACCTTTCGATGCGAAAGCCAAATGGGCGTCGCGTGCGAGACTTAGTATAAGACCGCGCGAACGCAGGGCATACTCATATCGACTAACAATGCAAACGTACGCACGCAGTCGCAATAATGGCGTATCATGTAGTACCCATACTCCCGCGGCCCCCGTTAATTTTGAGGGTTGCGTTCGACACTCAAGTGTCGGCTGACACACGCCTTGAGGGTTAATCTCTTGACGCTGGACACATGGGCGGAAGTCAAGGGGTTTGACTTTGACGGCTGCCACGGACTATAACGTCCAACCATAAAAATCTCCAAAAAAAAGCAAAAGTAGGGCGAAGGCCCCTCTTATTCCAAAAGAAACCTAACCCTGGGGTACCCTCCCCTTTTCGGGTGGTGTCAGCGGCCTATAATAATCCCAAGCGTTTGTGCAATGTGTGCGCCCCTTTGATCCCATAACTTTTAAACGCTACGGCGGGGAGCGTCGCACACGCGATTCTAATATAAAGTCGCGCGGCTGCAGGTCAGTCTCATACCAACCAACGATGCCAGTCATACGTAGTAATCGCGGCTCCGGCCTCGCGATATTGAATGGCTGAAGGAATATATCGTGAGGGGTCACCCCTCACGATATTGAACGGCTGAAGGACATGTCATTCGGCCCTCATGACATTCCCACCTTCAGGGTTGGGTGTCTCGACGGGTAGGGCAGGTAGGCCTTGCGCGAGGGGAAACCCCTCCTCTGAAGAGTCTAAGGCTTGGGATGCCCTGGACAAGGACCTTGAGTCCCTGCCTAGGACTATAGTCCGACCAAGAAAACCCCCAAGAAGCAAACAAGCAAAAGGGAAGGTCTTCCCTATGCCTCACAATCTTTAACCTCTAAGCAGGCTTTTAACATGGGGCCCTTTAGGCCTCGCGACCATCCACCATAGGTACACCCAAACATACACGCATAAGGGGAGATAGAGTTGCGACGATCACTTCTCACAGGCACAGTCGGACTCCTCACAACCATATGTATATATATGGGATCACAGACAATCCGAATCCAAAATCCGAGCCACAGGACATACCTGCAATCACATCTTAACAAACAATAAACTCACCAGGGCTAAAGCCTTTTAGGTTGGGTATGGAGAGCGAGTTGAAATTGAGTCGTAGACCGACGAATCGGCAACCGACCTGTTATCAGTGATAACAGAAGATGATCCTTCTAGGATCAAGTTGAAATTGGTCCAAATCCTGAATCAAACGGTCTAGAGGACCTGTACCACAGACAGACCAATCCCCTGGCTACGCCTATAAGTCCATGGGGAATAAACCCCATATCACGATCTCACTCAAACCCTCATAAGTGACTAAGCCTGAATCTACCGCTAAGCAGTGCCCAGAGCAAAGGTAGACTCTGGCATAATTTTCCCTATACGGAGTGGATCGCTAGAATCGCCACCTATCAAAACATAGTTTAACTAAGAAAATTTCGGTAGCGCTTCCCGTAGGAAAAGTGTCTTTTCCGAATTTGTATCAGCTCAAATATGGAAACAGAAATAGTCCTTGACTTTCCAAAGTCCAATTTTGTCTATCTCCCGGAATTAGCAAAAATTTGGGCAGCACTTCTTTTAGAAAAGGAAACTTTCCAGATTTTTACTAAGTCATATACGGACCTTAGACAAGTTGAACTTTAAAAAGTCAGAAATTAGACTAACTCCTTGGATTTGCAGAAATTTCGGCAGTGCTTCCTGTAGGGGAAGTAGCTTACCAAATTTTATACAAGCCCAAGTATAACAAAAAATTTTAGAAAATGCGAGAACTTGATCCATGTAAAAAAACTTAGCTCAGAAATGCAGCAATTGAACTAGTTCCTATCGCTCTAGCACGTGGCGAGCCTCTAAAGCAACTACTTGTCAAACTGAAACTCAGACCAAGTAGTCATCTCACTCAGCCACATGCAAAGTCAAACCACGAAGGTAAGTACTCTCGCCATCCCAAGGTACACCTGAACAAGCAATAGTTCATGGCCTCTCAATGCTTTATCCCTTTATACCCAGCTTACATAAGGCGTAAAGTCAGGCCATCCAATCTTATGGAACATGCCTGACCCAACCATTGAATATACACGAACAGGTTGCACGACTACTTCTCTCTTCCTTTGGGCATATGAGTGAGCCATTCATCTTAGAAACAAAGCTTAGTCGCCCTGAACTGTTTAATATCCAGGTTATATATACCTCTCTGACTTAGTGTTCAAACGCCGGGCGTAGGACTGAGTCATTCATCTTAGAAACAAAGTCCAGCCTGCCCAAAGTTACCTTCAGTTATACTCTCTACAACTTATGATAAGCTATAGTCTGACCATCCAATCTTATGGAACCCTTGTCTGACTAACCTGTTCATAAATAAAATAATAATAAGGTATAGCCAAATTATAACCTCTCAGGTTCCAGCATGTGCGAGGCATTGGGCCAGACCATCCAATCTTATGGAACATATCTGGTCCTTTGCCAAGTTCATTTCTCTCTGAATCATCTGGGTGTGGCGTGAGTCCAAAGTCATCCAATCTTATGGAACATGCTTTGTTCTTAGCAAAAATTACTCCCTCAGAATGAAACAGGAAGAGGCTGAGTCATCCAATCTTATGGAACTTGCTCAGACCTCCTCGATCAGAAACTAATGAAACAGAGTAAACCCCAACTAACACGACAACCAAGCCAACCCATCTTATGGAACAGGCTTGGCTCCTAAAGTCAACTGCAGGCAAACCCTCACAAGTCAGAGCAATCATACCATTCAATTTTATGAAACCTGTTTAAATTTCAATGCAATTCAAATAAAATAAAACACAGCAGTCAATCCATCCAATCTTATGGAACATGCCTGCCCCACAGGACCCTTCCAATCTCAAGCAAAACTGCCTTTCTCCCAACCTTCCCCCTGATGCAATTCCCTTTTGTTCACGATCTGCTTTCAAGCAATCAATAACTGAAACTAAGATTGCACAAAGTCAAACTCAAAGTCCAAGTAGGGGTGCACTCAATGTACTCAGTTAAATACATAGAAAAATATATAAATAGGGGTTATAATATGGGTTTATAGAGGGGAAGCAACTATTACCTTTCAATTCCCTGCCTCCAGAACTCCTCCTAAGTTCCGACAGAGCTCCCGCAATCGGTGGGATTACTGCCCACGGAGTCTTGCTGCGGTCCTACGGGTTGCAATCCCGCCTGCCGCCTTCCTCTCAGAACCACAGACTAGACTTAGGGTAAGAATGGTAGAAAGAGATAAGTTTGAGACTCTCAGATCCAAGGGAGGTGCGCTCAGACTCGCGGGAGAGGGCCTTGTTGTCTTGAATCGCCTGAGGGCCCCGCAAGGGCGGCCAATGTAACAGCTTGGTCAACCCCTTAACTCGAACTGTCATGGTCAACCCTCTACCGACCTCCCAAACCGCAGCACTAACGTCCCTCCTCAGGGCAATCACTCTATTGGGCCCCCAACACCCTCCCCGGAACCAAGTGCTACTACACAGCAGCCCGAAGCGCCGATACCTTTTCCAAATCTCAGCAGCCTGCCCCCTCCCCGT